TCAGCAGCGCAGTCCGCCCGACACAGGTGCGTACTCCCAGCGTCAGCGCCCCGGCAAACGACACTAAGATTGCACCCGATTTAAATAACCAAACAATTGCGCGGTATTAATGTTTTAACGCTTTAACACGGCACCCTATGGTGACCATGACTGGGATACACGGACGTAATGAACCCCACGGGAGACGAATCGTCCATTCGGTGCCGTGAAATGATGATTGTTTTATGTATATGTCAGTGGGGTGGGCTGGAGAGCGCCGTATAGTGCGCGTTCATTTGACCTGACTACGCTGCTCCAGGGCATGTAAGATGTTAATTGTACGTTCAACGTTGCAATCGTGCGGTTGACACTACACAAACAGCTTCATTCAGGACAATTTGTTGGCAAGGCGCATCCTAAGTGGATTTGTTGAATACTCTTCAAACTAACACACGCGATCACACCGTTTCCCGCCTAAAATCAGTTGGTACTTATACGGTCATATATTCGTGATGCAATCAATTACGGATTAATCTAAACGTTAGGCGGCATGGGCGGACATCGATAGCAGCGCCTCTATCGGTCACTAGGGAAAGCTGGGCTGTAGGCGACGAAATACCGGCTGAGTTGTCACAAGTTAAATAGGTTTATAGACATCCGTCTTGTGAAAAAGTTGAACTTTTGCCTTCAATATTTCTACAGGCAATTTTAGAAGTGCCTTCACATAGATTACAAAACCGTTTAAATTATTTTATTCACTTCGAGCCTTCTCTATTGTTCTCGATGATGCGGGAACTATTTCTAATTAGTGTTTCTAGCTGAGTAAAAGAACATATTGTGCAAACGATGAAAAAAGCATAAATGGAAGATTTTAAATGCAATTTTCTGTAACAAATTATGGTAAATTCTCTACACATCAAGGAAAATGTGCATGCTAACTGATAATTTAAAGTTCTTGGGGCCAGTTGGTTTCTTCTTTTCTTACGTCGCCCCAATGGCCGCGAATACACTTGTGATAACGCCTATCGACATAGAGAATCAGCGGCAATCCTGCCGAAAAATATTCGATTTAGTAGTAATAAATTGCACCATGTCAATAAAAATGGCATTACGTTATACAAAAAATTATCCATTTTAGTTGAACAAACCTACCCTGTATTCCTTCTTGGATGACTGCGTCGGCATCAGTTGGGATCATTCTTCATTTTGATCAGAATTCATTCATTTTGATCGGTTTATTCTAACGTGATCGTTCATTATATTGTTAATGATTTGGTGCCATCAGTGGTAGATTTATACTTGATGGATACCCGGTATTAATTGCAATTTCTAAGAGTTTTACAGCAAATCAAAATGCGGGAGCTGCTTTACGGAGGTCATGCCATCCGTAGCCCAACCGTTCGAACCAGCACATTTTGTTGAAGCCACAGCCATGCTCTCTGATCTCAGTACCATTTCTGTGATCCCTCTGTCGTCCGCGGTCGTCGCTGTGATCCCTCGGAGCGACATCTCCCTGCCCTTTGATCCACGAAGGACGCCGGTCACATCCCCCGACAAACGCGGGCACGGCCGCCGCGCCGCCGCCGCCGCCGTCGCTGCACCAGATTTAATATGGGCGCAGCCGACGAGGCTATCTATCACGGGTAAGGAGACCGGCCGGCGATATTAAGGCTGGCGCTCAGCGCAGCGCCACCTCCGACGGCCGCAGCTCGGCCTGACTGATGTGGCACTGCAGCTGCAGCTCTGCGCTGAGTGCCGGCCCGCCGGCGCCGAGGAAAAATTACGGGTCGGAGGGCGAGCGCCAAGGTGCGCTGGAGAAGCAACATGGCGTGGGCGGCTGATAGAATGGCCGGCAGATGGTCGACGACAGAGAACCAGTGGTCAATTGGTCAGACACGAGAGGCTAGTGGTCAGATGGTCAGATATGAAAGACTAGTGCTCAGATGGTCAGACACGAGAGGCTAGTGGTCAGATGCCAGATGGTCCGGCCCGAGAAGCAGAATGCACGACGCTGGTTAAATGCAACAAAGCGCTGGGAGTTGAGATGGGCTGAGGGCCCAGCGCAGCGGTGAGCTGATCGCCACCCGTTTGTCCCGGCTGTGGCAGAGAGGACGCCGTTTGCTAGATTACGAGACGTACATACCTAATGGCACGCTGTTGGCTGCAGGCGGGACGCATCCCGGACACACTACTGACTCCCGGCTGACTACTCTCGGCTCTCACGACTACTCTCTAGTCCACAGATCAGCTGATGATTACCAAGAGAAGACATACACACCATCGGTTAGACAAAGCTCCAATCGGTTTTGTGTAATTATCTATTTGATATGTACACCAGTTGCATTAGGTGGAATGCTAAACATAACTATGTGCATAGCATTGTTTGCTACTCGGATGTGTTCAGTCCTCAAAGGTAGCATTTATCACACACGACTCGGGAAAAAACACCGTCCTAGAATCGCACGTTAACACAGACATAAAACGGTTTGATAAATTGTTATTATTATTATTCTTGTATTATGACCTCCAATACAACAATGGCTTTTCCGGTCACACAGTCATGATTACAAAGTGCTTAACCCGCGCCCCGCTGGGGGGGGGCAGAATCTGCCCCCCTCCCGTTTTTCGCCAATAACTTCTAAACGCGTTGCGCCAGCGACGTCAAACTTTCAGTACCTTATCATACATCAATTTGACACGTTCCCTGAAAATTTGAGCGAAATCCGTCGGAAAATTTTTGAGATATTGACGTTTTAGTGACGTCATGTTCGCCATTTTCGCCCCAAAAACGGCAAAATTTCAAACGCCGCTAACATCTTTATTTTTAAAGGAATCAAGACGTAACAAAAAAGGTTATACGTGATTCTACTTTGTCTATCAAATGGCTATCTCGGTTTTTTGAAAATGTTGGATTTTGGCCAAAATTTTTCCAAAAAACTGACTTTTTTGGGAAAATATTTATAAAATCCAAAATTTTGAGTTTATCGAAAAAACCGGAATATATGTCAAAGAAGTGGTCTATGTGCACCTACATACCAATTTTTAGAAGAATCGGTTCAAAAATGTGGGAGTTATTCAAATTGTTATGACGTCACGACACACAACATGCACAATGCGTACAATGCGTACAACATGCACAATGCGCATTTAAGTGCAAATGCATTTGGTGGTATACCTACACGAGTATGTAAACAGTAAATCCCCAACTGCACCAGAGACGAATTAACAGGAATTGATGGATAAATAAGATTTAAAAACAAAACCGGGGTATAGCACATTTTGCAGGTAAACGTAATTCACACACACTGAAGATCATTTCTCACTGAACGGTCTACATACGCACAGATGCTCGCAAGCTATGGAATCCGTCTATGCATCGATATGTTTGAGTACTTGCGACTGTACTCTTAACCACGCTTGCCTGCTTATCACAAATTTACAAAGTCTGTCCTTACCTGGGTTCTTCCTTCCAAATGACGGTTGTAACCGCCACCTGATATAATAACTATGCCACTCACTAATAACACACTTCCTAGTTATTGGCTTTGTACTGTTTCCCTAAGGAAGTAGTTTCCCTACGTGTGCTAGCAACGCAGACACTGTTTTTACTGTGTAGCCAGAAACTTCACACTTGGCGAGACACAGTTAGACTTTTGACAAGGCATTTTAATGACCGAACTTAATTTTTAGTTACAAAAAATGCTCAAGGCCATTATCGAACTGCAGCAGACAGCCGACAGTGCAGGCATGGATGAGACAATAGGCTAACCATACCTTTTTAATATTCACATTTCACGGGTAGGCTACGTTGCTGCAAAACATTCTTATTTGTAATAACTAGTCTCCATTTCCTAGAAAATTCATCAATATTAAAAAAATCATTGGCCATCTACGGCCTACGCTAAATTAGAAGAAGCGATCCGTGTTGAGCTCTAATTGCATCCTGCTAATTTCCAGCACTACCGCGCCATTTCTCAGTACGGCAGTTTTTTTGCCACCGCTGTCCCGCACCGCCCAGCAGCCTGCCCACCTAGCCTCAATTGATCGGGGCGTCATTTCCGCTGAGCGCAGCCCAACGAGCCGTTTACATGAGGCGATGGCGGTCGATAGGGCCGCAGCTCGGCCCGGCCGGCTCAGCTTCGATAAAATATCCTGATTCCTTACAAAGGCTGAGTGCTTCATGCTTGTACACCAGAATAACGCCGAACTGATCATCTAAATCAAGATGCATTTAACATTTTGAAGAGTCTCGCAAGAAGAGAATAGTGACCAAAATATGTGCTATTCAAATTAATCTGAAATGGCTCTCGTAATCATTACTTTCCGATCATTTTCTGAATAATCATGTTATGCCAAATATACTTGTCAGCTGCCATATCGTCTTAAAACTACATAGATACCATCCTTATAAATCAAACGGTTAAAATTGATAATGTTACTGTTTTGATCAACATTTAAACCGACAGATATTACTACGCAGTATGACTGCGCCGTATTTTTTACATAAATATGTAGTATCGAAGGTAATTAGTCTACCCTGAAATTCTACCCATTATAGTTACACCACAGCAAAACCTACGTAGACGAACTATGCGCTATTGTTTTATGGAATGTAGTGTGAAATGATCCTGATCATTATGGTATCTTCCATATAAGCTGAGCTCTGCCTTTACTTCGCAGTGCTTTTGTCTATATTAAATTAGTCTAGACTCAAGTCCTGCTTTCTTGTTTGATCGGCTAGCCACAGGTTCCTGGTAGGCCCACGTGAGCTCCTCCTATAGTCAACTTGCTCCAAAGCCATCAGTTAGCTTGCATTCGCTCGCAATGCAGCAATATCACCTGAGTTCAGATCATCTATTGGTTTGTATTGCTTAGTTCTACAAGCAATGGCTGTGGCTTCATGACTGATTTTCATCCCATCGGACATTTTAAGTTTTTTACCCTCGGCCGACCTCTGATTAGCTCCGATATGTTTCCCTTATAGCAAAACCATGCAAAACTTAGCTCTCAGCTTTATCAGCTCAGCTAGAGGGCGGTTCGCGACAGGTGATGATATAGAATATTTTGATGTAGGCCGCCCGGAACTCGGCGCTGCTGATGCCGTAGAGGATGGGGTTGACGGCCGAGTTGATGTAGGCCATCCAGTAGGAGAACTCGACGAACCAGCCCGGGAAGAAGTCCGGGTACCAAGCGCTGATCTGCAAACAAGAGGACATCGGGGGCCCGAATGTCAACCTCAGTAAATTGTCTGCAGAAGCTTCCATTTTCAATTTAAGCTAGCGCCTACCTCATCGATTCAAGGCGTTAAGAAATGCCGCAAGGGTTAAGCCAAACAATACATCAAAATTAGACACCACAAACAGCAAGTAAAGAGCACAAAAAGCTGGGGCTCTTACCACAAACAGTAGGTAGAAGGGCACCCAGCAGACGGCAAATACACCAATAATAGAGAGCAGGGTCATGACGGCCTTCTGCTCGCGTTTCCTCCGCTGCTCCTCCTTGTCATCCGCCACTACCACCGCCTTCTTCTCGTCAACCTCGCCGTCCACCTGCGATCAAAAAGGGTTGGTGAAAAACACAGAGTCTGTCATAGGTCTACAAGGCATTAATTACGTCTTGTACTGTTCTAATTAAAATCGTTACAGACAGAAAACATTAAACAATGAAAATTAAACAGCCAAAGCTATGTAAACCTGTAATAACTATTACCCTTTGAACAGAGGAAAGTGGAGTGATAAAGAGCACCCAAAGATAATTGCTTACCGTTGCGACTTGCACCTTTTTGCTGTCTCGGATTTTCCGTGCTCGTTTTCTCATCACGTACAGAATGCGACTGTATGCTCCAATCATCGTCAGAAACGGCATGTAGTATCCGAGGAAGCCGACATAGATCACCTGGAAACCACCAAAGGTTGACAAGTCAACATACAGGGCATACTTGCTCTGATCAGGTAGGTGGCAGTTTGGTGAGGTAGGCACCGGTTCCTCAGAGGACCTGTGCTAACCAGGTCCCGGTTCCTAAGTCCATTCGTCCCACTTCCGTTCTCACCAGGTCTCGGCTCCTCAGGCCCCGTTCTCGGTCCCTCAGGCATAATCTAGGTTTTCACTAGGTAGTGATGAAAGCGATTCCTCAGATACTACCAGTTTCGTCCTTTACCTATACCTGGTTAGAGGTTCCTCAGCCCCGTGCTGACCAGGTAGGCTAGAGGTTCCTCAGCAGTCAGCACTCGGCGGGTCCCAGGTCCGCTCTCACCACGCAGCGGCTCCTCATAGAGTCCCAGTTCCGTCCTTACCAAGCCTCGGTTCCTCCGCGGTCCCTTTGCCCCGTGCTCACCAGATATCGGTTCCTCAGCGGGTCCCAGTAGCAGTCCCCCGGAGCGTAGTCGTTGGCCACTCTGTCGTAGATGAAGGCCGGCAGCCAGATGGCGTTCACCACGCACCAGGTGACGCACAGCAGCGCCAGACACTTTTTCGGGCTGTACGTGTTTCGGTAGTGAGTGGACCACGTCACCGACCAGAAGCGATCGATACTGCCGGGAACACCGAGTGATCGGGGATGATCAGCGTCAATTACTAGAACTGAAAACAAGGAGCGTGAGTGTCTTTACCAGGCGCAGAAACTGGGAAAAACAATTTAAATGTTCAACCCTCATCGGACCTATTGGTTTTCTACATACGCGCGGCCGAGCGGGAGGGGGGTGGGAGAGTTGGTACCGTTTTGGCCCTGATGGAGTTAGGTTAGAGCGTCGCAAAAAAACGGACGTGTGCGCTGTTACAAGAAGCAGCGAGTGGTACCCGATTTCAAGGTCTCAGGTCAACCGGTAATCTCTGAGGTCAGGTCTAGTGACCCAAGGCACGGGTTCAGTTTTTCATATATAATTTCGCAAAAACAAAACGGTCGCAGAGCCGCAATTTTGGCATCATCGTGTTCGCTTCACGCAGGCGCATCGAATGGTGTGCTTTTGGTTCGGGTGAGGTCAACTTGAGGTGTTGACCTTGGGTTAAGGTCAGGTCAGCGTCCTCCAGGTCACGAAGCTGGTCAAAGGAGGTCATGTTGCATATCATTCGATTCGGCATGTGTTCCTGAGTTCATTGGTGGCTTTCCCGACTCGCTAGCTTAATTTGATCGGAGGTTATTGACGAAAAACTTTTATGACCCAGGTGACATCATAAATGAGGTCAGCAAGGTCAGCAGTGCAAAAGTGGAGCATCGGACCTTGCAAATAGTGCAAGAAATCACGATTTCGTGTGCTTGAGATAGTTTGAGATCGTCCCGGGACCCGGCGTTAAAATAGCAGTTTTCATTTTTCCCCATTGACTTAACCCTCGCCGGCCGAGGGGGGGGGGGGGGGGGGCGGGTGCCGCCCCCCCCATAGGGTTTTTTCGCGATAGCTCCGAACACGCTGGCGATAGAGAGCTGAAACTTGGCATACCTGACCTTTGATCCAAGCCGGATCTTTTGACACCAACCGCATTTTTGGGTCAGGTCAGGTCACTGACCTATGACGTCATAAGTGAACCTCTGCACGGTCTTCAGATGTCACAACTTCGCAACGCCCTCACTGCCAGAGGAGATATCACAGGGAAATGAAACTTGCAGGATCTAGTATCCATTATGAGTCCCACAACTTGTATATCTCGGATTTTTCCTAAAGGTCATATGAGGTCAGGTCATTTTCGTGACCTCACCATTATAAGTCAATGGGGAAAAATTCAAACTGCTATTCTGACGCCGGGAACGATCTCCAACTATCTCAAGCACACAGAATCGTGATTTGATGCACTCCTTGCAAGGTTAGATGCGTCACTTTTGCAATGTTGACCTTGCGTGACGTCATTTATGACGTCATCAAGGTCATATTAGTTTTCCGTCAATAACTCTTGATCAAATTGAGCTAGCGAGTCGGGAAAGCCACCAATGGACTCAGGAAGACCTGCCGAATCGAATGATATGCGACATGACCCCTTTCGACCAACTTCGTGACCTGGGGGTGCTGACCTGACCTTGACCTGAGGTCAACACCCCAAATTGACCTGACCCGGACAAAAAGTATATCATTCGACGCGCCTGAGCGAGACGAACACGATGCTGCCAAAATCGGCGCTCTGCGGCCGTTTTTTGCGAAGTTATTCACCAAAAACTGAACCGTACCTTGGGGCACTTGACCTGACCTCAGAGGTCACCGGTTGACCTAGGACCTTAAAATCGGGTACCAATCTCTGCGTCTCGTAACGGCGCACACGCTCGTTTTTTTCGCGACGCGCTAGCTCCACCAGGGGCGAAACGGCGAGGGGGGGGTCGTACCCGCCCCCCCCCCTCGGCCGGCGCGTATGTAGAAAACCAATAGGTCCGGCGAGGGTTAAAATGGTGAGGTCACGTGACCGACCTAATCTCATGTGACCTTTAGAAAAAACCGAGATAATTAAGTCGTGAGACCTCTAGAGGATACTATATCATTATCATGTAAGTTTCATCTCCCCTTGAAAGTTCCTCTGGCATTGAGGGCGTTGGAAAGTTGCGATATCTGAGGACCGTGCAGAGGTTCACTTATGACGTCATAGGTCAGTGACCTGACCTGACCTGAAAATGCAGTTAGTGTCACAAGATGCGGCTTGAATCAAAGGTCAGGTATGCCAAATTTCAGCTTTATATCGCCTTCGTGTTCGGAGCTATCGCGAAAAATCTCTATGGGGGGGGGGGGGCACCCGGTACCCTCGGTCGGCGAGGGTTAACCCTCGCCGGACCTATTGGTTTTCTACATAGGGGAGAGTGGGGCAAAGCGGCCACCCGGGGCAAAGCGGCCATCCATGGTTTTAACCCTCCACAGCTGGCGTCAGTTCCAATTTATGATTTCCAATTATACTTCTCTTTGCGGTCGTTCAAATGAGCCAGACCGGGGTTTCAGGCCCATCGCCATTGTTCTGTGAAACACGGAAAAGCATTTCTTGCCAGATTACCAATTATGTTTACAATTTTTAAATGTTATTTTATTCCATAACCGTTTGGAATTTTTATAAGCGTTTTTGTCCATGCATTGCGTGATTATCGTACATGCCTTCTACCAATTTTAATGCTTTTTACCCCACTAATAGCTAAGCTGGAATATTTTTGTCTCGGACGGTATGCGCGGGGCAAAGCGGCCGGGGCAAAGTGGCCAGCCCCCAATTGGCCATAAGTTGTTTCCATCTGGATAAAAACATTATTTATATTCAAATGTGTCGTCATGCATTCATCTTAGCCACTTTTCGGTTACATGAGTTACCAAATTATGCAATTAAATGTTTTTCCAAGAAAATTCTTTCTTTGTTTAGCAATAGGTGGGAAGATAACAAAGTAAACATCCATCTTCCCTTAAACCTTGTCACCATCAAATACCCTAGTCGTGCATGAGGCAACTATTCTGTTTCTCATATCGGGACTTGAGAAGTCGCCAGTGGCCGCTTTGCCTCAGGGATGGGGCAAAGTGGCCAATATGCTATAGGTTTAAAGTTTTGTCAATATCTCCCATATGTGAACGCCTTTGGAAATGAAACGCAGTTGGAATAAAAGACAATTTAATAGGGATCACATTGGTATAGAAAGAATCTTTCCAAGCTTAAAAATCAAGCGTCGGCATCGTTAGAAACGTTAGGGTGGCCGCTTTGCCCCACTCTCCCCTACGCGCCGGCCGAGGGGGGGGGGGGGGGCGGGGGTAGGTATAGCGGCCCCCTCGCCGTTTCGCTCCTGGTAGAGCTAGCGCGTCGCGGAAAAAAAGGTCGTGTGCGCCGTAACGGCGCACACGACGTTACATTGGAACCCGATTTTAAGGTCCTAGGTCAACCGGTGACCTCTGAGATCAGGTCAAGTGCCCCAAGGTACGATTCCGTTTTTGGTGAATGACTTTGCAAAAAACGGCCGCAGAACCGCGATTTTGGCAGCATCGTGTTTGCCTTGCTCAATGCTCAGGCGCGTCGAGATATACCTACCTACTTTTTGTTTGGGCGAGGTGAACTTAGGGTATTGTCCTCGAGTCACGGTCAGGTCAGCGCCCCCCAAGGGCGCACACAAGGGGGGGGGCACACGGGCCCGTGCCCCCCCCATTCGAGTTGGGGGGCCCAACTCGAAGGAAGGGGCCCATTTGAGGCGGCCGAAGGCCGCCTCAAATGGGCCTCTAACTAATCCTTAGACCACCGAAGACCGTGTACAACGGGCCCTCAAATGGTCTTAAAGGGCCCTCAGATGGTCTCAAAAGGCACTCAGATGGCCTCGAAGGGCCCTCAGTTAGCGTCATAGGGCCCTCATCTGGTGTCAAAGGGCCCTTAGATGGTGTCAAAGGGCCCTCAGATGGTGTCAAAGGGCCCTCAGATGGCCTTAAGGAGCCCTCAGATGACCTCAAAGGACTCTCAGATGGCCTTAAAGGGCCCTCAGATAGCCTCAAAGGGCCCTCAGCTAACGTCAAGCCGACGTCAGAAGGCCTTAAAGGGTGTCAAAGGTCCCTGAGCTGGCGTCAGAGGGCCATGCCCTTGCGTCAAATGGCTCTCCGAAGGCTCTAAAGGGTCCTTAGCTGGTGACAGAGGGCCCCCAGCTGGCGCCAAATGGCCATCAGAAGGCCTCAAACGGTCCTCAGTTGGCGTCAAGCGGCCCTCAAAAAGCCTTAAGGGGCCCTTAGAAGACCTCAAGGGGCCCTCAGAAGGCCTTAAAGAGCGTCAAAGGGCCTTGAGCTAGCGTCAGAGGCCCCCCAGCTAATGTCAGAGGGCCCTGAGCTAGCGTCAAACTTCAAGTGCCCTTAGCTGGTGTCAGAGGGCCCCAGTTGGTGTCAGAGGGTCATCCATTGGCGTCTAATGGCCATCAGAAGGCCCAAAAACGATCCTCAGCTGGCGTCCAACGGTCCTCAGCTGACGTCAAGAGACCCTCAAAAGGCCTCAAAGTCCCCTCGACTGCTTAAAGGGCATTTAGAAGGCCTCAATGGGAACTCAAGAGACGTTAAACGGCCCTCAAAAGGCTTGAAAGGGCCCTCTGCTGATGGCAAAGGGCTCGCACCTGAGTCAATAAGAGCCTTGTCAAAAAACGGACCTGAGAAACCTTGCCGGCCCTGGTTATCTGCGGGCCTCCTACACTTACCTCAAGTGGCCCCCGTTTACTGAGGAGTGAGGGGCCCTGGTTATTGATGGGGTCCCTGGCTACTTAAGGGGCGCCTGGTTACCAGAGGGGCCCATGGTCACCTGGTGGGCCCCTGATCAATTGAAAACCCCTGGTCATCTGAAACGCCCCTGATTACCTAAAGGGTCCCATCACTTGGATTCAGTGACATAGCAAGGGAGCGAGGGGGTACGTGCCCGTTCTCGGGTTTAGGGTTCCTTCGAAACCGAGGAGCCCTGCGGCGCCAGTTGGTAGCAGAGGGTTCGCGCTGGCCGCACTTCAACTCGGAAGGACACCACAGGGCTTGTGGGGGACGTTATTGGCTCCTATGTAGCCACAATTATCTTCATAAAGGCCCAATGCCGGTTTCTGAGAGACCTCGCCGGCCGCTCAGGGCGGCAGGGCCCTAAGTAGTAACGGCCAACGAGGGATTGGCTGCTATGGCTCCACATCCGTCTGTGATAGACACACGGTCCACACCAGTGTTTCTAAAGGCACCCACAACGGCAACTGCAAGGCCCCTCGCCCCACCTCCAAGGGACCCCCACCAGCGCAACTTAAGGGCCTACACCGACGCCTCTGAGGGCCGCGTACCAGTGACTCTGAGGGCCTCTTACCGGCCTCTGAGTGTCCTTGCCAGCCTATGACGGGCCACTTTCCACTTGCACGCCATTTTGCAGGGCCACACACATGCCAATGATGGCCCCACCAGTGTCTCTAAGCCCTAAGACCCCGCAACGGCGCCTGTGAGGACCCAACACCAGCGCATCTGACGGCCTTTCACTGGCACCTCTGAACGCGCCACACACCGGTGACTCTGAGGAGCTCGCTCGCTCGCTTCGCTCGCTCGTAAAATACCATGTAAATTAGGCATTAGTGTACATTAGGCACACTCCTCGGGCATAAATGATACTTTTGCTTGCCAATTTTCCACATTTTCTCATGCAAAGACCGTTTTAAAGAGACCCGTCTGCCAGTGAGACTGGACCAACCGTGCCTCCCTCCTCCCATCGAAAGGTCCTGGCCAGGACCTTTCGCGTACATCCTTGCCTGAGCTGACCCCCGGCGCCCGGGTGACTCGCGGGCCCGGGGTCAGGTGACCAGCAGGTGACCCCCTCTTGGGCGAAATTCTGGGTACGTGTCCGACATGCATCGTACATAGTCCTGTTGATTTGATTCATTGGTTAAGCATTAAATATAAGTTATAAGCTGGATCTCTAGTCTGTGATCCCACATCGTATCAGATATAATGACATTTCATGTCGATGTGCCTAAAAAAATATGCGAATATACGTGAAAAAGGAGTGCTGCTCCCGCTCCTTCACATCCGGGCCAAACAGTGACCGGCCCCTGCTTCTAGCCACCCGGGGCCGGTCGGCCGGCCGGCAGTCAGTCGCTGCCCGGGGCTGATTTCTGAGGGACCTGCAAAAATGTTTATTAACCCGGCCGGGCCCGGGGGGTAATCCCAACCACCGCAGCCCGGGGGGGGGGGCGTTTTTCGCCCCCCTGTCTAACTCCGTAAATAAGGGAGCTACGCAAATAAAAGCGATACCAAACAAAAGGTCCTTACGAGACGATTCTAGGGCACCTAAAATTTTTGACCTCAGGTCAATTTTCAAGGTCAGAGGTCAAGGTCAAAGGCAAAAACCGGCACATGTGTAGTGATCTCAAGGTAAGCCTTCTAGAGGACGGCAGGATGCATCAAACCGGCAAAATTGGGTGTCAAACGAAAGAAGAGAATCTGAGGATTCCGAAAATGTGCTCATAATCAAAGTTCAAGGTCAAGGTCACGCCCAAAATTGACCTCAAACTTTGCACTTTTTCGTACATCTTGCGTGCTAACTTCCAAAATGTTTTGAAATGTTTTGAGGCTTATCAGTTCCCTATTTGTGGTTCATCTTACGATACAAGGCTGCTCAAAGGTCAAGGTCACAGAAGAGTATCCTTGCTAGAGGCTATTTCACTGATTCAAGTTAGTAATAATAAATAAGACAATTTTGCCATAAGGAAGCTCTAAATGAAAGCTTAGAGGAAAATAGATGCCAGATTCGTGATCAGCGGGTACAAATTCATTATGAACGACCTTTCATGTGTCAAGGTCAACCAAAGGTCATTCGAGGTCACATGAGGTCAACATAAAATTTGACCTTTTCCAAACAAAATATATATCATTCGACGCGGCTTGACAAGGCGAATGCGATGGTACCACTGCCGTAGCTCTAGGACCATTTTTGTCGAAGTTATTTGCGAAAAACTAAAACCACATTTCGGGGTCGTTGACCTGACCTCGGACCTCAGGTCACCGAAACTATTTTTCTATTTTTCTCTAGGTCAAACGCTACACAACCGTTTTCGTAATTTGTCTTTATCTCTAAAACTCTATTTTTAGCAGCTATTTGAAGTTCGCGTCTGTGACGCCGAAGTTTGCCGTGCAGGGGTTTAGAAAAATCGACCTTGTGACGTCATCAAGGGGGCTAGGTCCAAATTTTTTACTACAGAAGATGTCAAATGGATGGGAGAAAAGGTACTGAAAGTTTCGCCTTCCTATCCCTCATCGTTCGGGAGCTATCGCAAATATTCGCCAGGGGGGGCGAAAAACGCCCCCCCCGGGCCCGCGAGGGTTAATGACATGCTTTACGTAATAAATTAGATGATTAGGTATATCTGTACCAGCTCTGAGTCGCATTTGAGAAAAAAACAGCCTAGCGTAAAAATATATATGTTTTGAAAATTAAGCTGGTACCGAAATAATTGTTTTACCATGCATTGACAAACCAATAATTGCTCAAGCTTCAAACCAACCGAAATATAGCCCCGTTGGCCGTATTTTTTTGGGGGGGGGGCCTTTCGGCGTGGGGGCCCAGTTCGAAGGTCGTGCCCCCCCATTCAAAAATCCTGTGTGCGCGCCTGGCGCCCCCAGGTCACGAGATTGGTCGAAGGAGGTCATGTCGCACACCATTCGATTCGGCAGGTCTTCTTGAGTCCATTGGTGGCTTTCTCGACTCGCTAGCTCAATTTGATCGCGAGTTATTGACAGAAAAACTAATAGGTATGACCCTAATGACGTCAAGCAAGGTCAACATTGCTAAAGTAACTCATCGAACCTTGCAAGGAGTGCATGAAATCACGATTCTGTGTGCTTGAGATAGTTGGAGATCGTTCCCGGCGCCAGAATAACAGTTTCCATTTTTCCCCATTGACTTATAGGTAATGGTGAGGTCACAAAAATGGCCTGACCCCATATTAAGGAAAAATCTGAGATATACAAGTTGTGAGACTCAATGGATACTAGCTCCTGAAATTTTCATATTCCTGTGAAAGCGCTCCTCTGGCAGTGAGAGCGTTGCAAATTTGCGACATCTGAAGACCGTGCAGACTGCAGAGGTTCAGTTATGACGTCATTGGTCAGGGACATGACCCGACCCGAAAATGCTGTTGAAGTCAAAAGATCCGCTTTGAAGCAAAGGTCAGGTATGCCAAGTTTTTGCTCTCTATCGCCGGCGTGTTCGGAGTTATCGTGAAAAAACCCTAGGGGGGGGGGGCGGCACCCGCCCTCCCCCCCTCGGCCGGCGAGGATAAAGGCGTTGACCTCGGGTCAAGGTCAGGTCAGCGCCGCTCAGGTGACAGGTCATGAAGCTGGTCGAAGGAGGTCCATAATGTAGGTATATCATTCAATTGGGCAGGTCTTCCCGAGTTCGCTGGTGACTTTCCCGACTTGCTTGCTCAAATTGGTCGAGAGTTACTGACGAAAAACTGCTATGACCTTAGTGACGTCACACAAAGTCAACGATGCAAAAGTGAAGCTTTGGACACTGCGAGGAGTACATGAAAGCACGATTCCGTGTAGGTACTTGAGGTAGGTTTGGAATTTAGATCATTTCCGGCGCCAAGAAAGCAGTTCCTTTCCATATTTCCCCGTTGATTCACAATTCTGAGGTCACGTGACCGACCTGACTGATCTCATGTGACCTTTGGAAAAAAATCCGATATACTTATAAGAGTTGTGCGACCTCTATAAAAGGATACTAGGTCCTGTAAGTCCCATCTCCCTGTGCTTCTCTGACACTGAAGACATTGTGAAGTTGCCACATTTATGGACCACTATGAGAGGTTCACTATGACGACGTCATGGGTCAGTGACCTGACCTGAAAATAAGGTTGGTGTCACAAGATCCGGCTTGAATCAAAAGTTAGATATTCCGAGTTTCAGCTCTCTAACGTCGGCGTGTTCGGAGCTATCGCGAAAAAAAAAACTCTGGGGGTGTGGGGGTGCGGCAACGAGGATTAAAACACCGAAAGGTTCGACGAAGGTTCATATGATGGTGATGGTGAACGAAGTAATGATAAGATGGAGGTCGACGACCTCGCTAGATATCAATTTAAAGCAATGGCCAATGAAATACTTCGGCGCTATCCGCCTTTAACCTTATGGGTAAGGTAAGGGTGAGTATACCTACTTCTAGATTGTTTATCAGCTTTGATTTGCTCCGCTAGCGTTCAAGCGCTCACCTAATAGTCATCAGGGTGAACACCGACTCGAAGGTCATGGTGTAGTCGCTCCAGACCCAGTAGCCGCAGATGAAGTTGTTGAACGGGAAGTAGCCGAACAAGTTGTAGATGGCGAACAGTGACATCACCGACATGCCCACGTTCATATCGGTGATGGCCAGGTTGACGATGTAGTAGTTGAAGGGCGTCTGCAGCTTCTTCTCCACCTTGACCGACATCACCACCAGCAGGTTGCCGAAGATGGTCTCCAACATGATGAGCAGCTGGAAGACGAACAGCATCACCTTGGATGTGGACCAGGCGATGCCGCCGGCGCCCAGCGGCTCGGCGTCCGTTGTGTTGTTCATCTCTCGGCGACTCTGCTCGTGGTCTGTGTGGTGAGACCGCTGCGCGCGTGTGTAGTAAGACAACTCCCCGCTGGTGTGGCCTGAGTCGATTGAGAAGAATTTTCGAAAGGACAGCGGAGGATATGGAAAGGGACGGTGCTGATGAGGCGCAGCACCTAGCACAAGCGCGATCCAGGTTGGACCGGTGGCAAAAGTCCCGTCCGCCGGCGAACCACCACTGGTCTCAGGACGGGGAGTCCGAGAGTCCTTGGACAGACCAGCGGGCCACCCAGACGAGTCTCCGAACAAACACGAACTGACTCCCATCTCCGGACGGCCCCGGGGGCCGACCGACTTCTGCACACAACACCTGCCGATGGCGTCCCATTACAGAGCCGAGAGCGACCCTTTGCGTGCCGACCCGACTAAAAATACCGCCACTGACGTCCACAGGGATGGACCTGGGGCGGCGGTCCGCGCTCGGTCTGTGGACGGTCCCGGGAACGACACATCCCCGCAGGCAACCAGGGTCAGCCAGGCACCGAAATAGTCTGATTAGTACCGATGAGGTGGCCAGAATAGCGACTGATCACTGGAAGCCGCCGCTGGTTGAGCGGTCCAGCTAATCCCCAACATTTAACCAGGCACGCGAGCGGATAATTGCAAAGGATAAACGTATATTCAAGCCTCAAAGTGAACAAATGTCTTCCCGACCGGGCAATAACGCGTAATGGCCAACTCAAAAGAGCCAAACGAACAACAAAATAATCACACTCTGCTAGCTCCAGTGACCCCCAGAAGCTCGGTGACCCACTCTGCACCGAATCACGATTGGCGTAAATGTTTTCCGCGTAACTGCACCTTATATAAAGATATATACCTAGGCGTTTTCCCGTATCGGTAGCTCCGTACACCATTCATTCAGTCAGTCCCCGTTCCACTGGCACACACCGAAGCGCGCCCCGGCGGGCGGCGATGCCCGGCTCACAGCGCCTGATTACCCAGTCCGCGGCGGTGGCGCCCCTGGCGGCCGATACGGCCAGTACTCTCGCTTAGATGGCGTCACGCAGGTCCCAGGTGCCGGGGTCGGCACGCGCCGCCTTTCCGGTCGGCGCCGGCAGCTCGGCGCCGTTACTGCGCTGTCCGCCCGGCTCCGAGACTCTGAGCAGACGCGTCTCGGCCATCTGTAGGTGCTGCTTCACCGCCTGGTACCGCTCATCCATTGCCTGCCGGTGGCACACGCATATCAGATGACTGGCGTGAGATACAGCACAACATACAACATACATCTCTGCCTTTGTACACAACATGTACAAAGGCAGAGAAAACAGCTTTCCTCAACACACAAACACATTACCACACACCACACTCCTGCCATTCCCCTTCCAGTATGGTCTGCTCTTCAGGCCAGTCACTCTTCTCACCTGAATCTGTTCGTGGTGCCGCACGCGCATGGCCTCCATGAGCCGGCGCAGCTCACTAATGGTCAGCTCTCGGTCTCTCAGCTGCTGCTCCAGGCCGCTGGCGACCGCCTCGGCCCGGCGGCGACCCTCCTCGTCTGGCGGCGGCGGCGGCGGCTCCAGCTGAGCCCACGGGTCGCCGCCGGCGGCCGGGTCGGCGGCGGAGGGCGCCACGCCGCTGACTGGCTGCCTCAGCTGACCGACCATCAGCAGACGGCGCTCCAGCTCCAGCACACGAGCCTGGAACGGCGAGACGTGAACAATGTAAGTCATGAGACATATTTCGGTATAATAAACAGACGAGGTAGCTGATTGCGTGTGATAACCTGCAAGGGCGAAGACGAGGTGGAAGACGAGGTGGCTACAAGCCACGGACTCCTTGTTGACACTCAGGACAGCGTCACTCCCACACTTATCTGCCTGCGTCAGGCCGGCCGATTTGCACCCGACCCTTCTGGTTCTCACCTCCAGTTCCGATTTTCTGAGCGCCTTCTCCTGCGAGTAGGCCAGCTGCCGCTCGGTGTCGAGCAGCTGGCAGCGGGCCTGCTGCAGCTGCTCGTCCTGCTGTCGCAGCTGCGCCGCCAGCTGGTCGCTGGCGCGGCGCTGCTCCTCCAGCCGCGCCTCCAGCTGCTCGCGCAGACGACACTCCTCTGCGGCGCGGTGCTCCAGCCGGAGGGCGGCGGCCCGGTGCTCCTCGCCGGCGCGCACCGCCTGCCGCTTCACCAGCTGCAGCTGCCGGTTACACTCGGCCACGTCTACAGACATCACCTCCACCTGACGGACAGGGTGGCGGGACAGGAGGACCGGTCAGAATGGGCGCCGAGCAGAATATCGAACATAGGAACAGTTACAGACATTCAACTTAAATATAATGCCTTGTTCTGTATGACGTCCTTCAACTCCCAGCCACGTACTCACTCCAGCTGTCACTTTCACCACACCCACAGTCACACAGTGTCACTGAAATGCCTCTTCAGCTCGCAACCTGCCCGCGTCTTGTCCTTTACCTAAGATAGCCCCATGACCTGTCACTTTAGCTCCCCTCCCTCCCATCCTTTCACCTCTCGCACTGACCTGTCTCTTCAGCTCGCGATTCTCCTCCTCCAGTCGTCGGGTGGCGCGCGTGCGGTCGAACAGGCGTCGGTTTCTGTGGGCGTGCACCTCGCGCTTGTACCGCTCGTACAGTAGCAGCTCGTGCATCAGGCGGGCGTTCGGCATCGTCTGTGAGACGTGCTCGCGCAACAGCTGGTGCGGCGATAGCGTTACCTGGGGGCAGGGAAACCGTGCCATTATTGAACAAAAACACACAGAAGAGGCTGTTCAATAGCGACATCATAGGCGTAACAACAGGCAGACTGCAAATCCTACATGACAGAAAAGCAGATAATTGTGCTTCACTAGCGAGCCCACTTGAAGTCATCTCACGTCCAGTAAATGGGTTATGAGCCCCTAGTTTGAAACCAGTCCGACCGTTAGTGTCTCTGACGCTCACCTGCTGCTGCGGAACGGCCGGCGGCGGCGGCAGCGCCACCGTCAGCAGGTGCTCGTACGCCGACGGGTGGTGCGTGTCCTCGGTCTGACAGCCGGTGTCGGAGCGGCGCGTCGGCGGCTGACGGGCGGGTGTCACCGCCGGCGCCGGCGCCGGCTCCGTCAGCGCCGCCACGTCCGGGCACGAGCTGGTGCGCCGGTGCTGGCGGCTCGGCAGCACGTGCTGGCTGTAGTAGCGGGTCATGTGGCGCACCAGGTCAAAGTCGAGCCGGCTCTGCGGCAGCGAGGCGGCCAGCACCGGCGGCGGCGAGTCGTCCTCCTCGCGGTCACCGGTGGCCGAGCGGCACGGGATGGCCGCCGCCGCCGTCACCGGCAGCCGCAGCGGGTGCGCCTGCGTCAGCTGCGCCGTGGTCGACGCGAACGGCGTCAGGTTGCCGGAGGTGGCGGCCGTCGGCGGCTGCAGCCGGGTCAGGTCGCTGACCTCGCGGTCCTCGGCCGAGTGGTCGGCGGCGCCGTCGGACCAGTCACCGGTGGCCGGCCGGGACGGTGTGCCCGGGCCGCGCCACGGAGCGCCGCCCGACGCCGACGACGAGCCGGAGGTGCCCGAGGTGCGGGGCACCGGCCGGGTGACCGGCGGCGGGCCCTCGGCAAACTGCACCGGCGATACCACCGGCGCCACTGAGAACGGACACGGGACGGTCACAGACGGGCACTGGTGCCTCAGACGGTCATGAACAGTTATAGCACAGGACGGTCACAAACGGTACTAAGGTCTCGAGACATAAGCACTCAACACGGCTTAAAGTTATCACATACAAGATACGCCATTTTATATAATTCTTCGGCTACCGGATGGCCGGCAGCCTTTAAGCAAACGGGCATGCCTGTCGCATCTCAGATGTCATTATTGTGTATTTACAACAAATCAGCCAGCGCCCAGCACCACCAGGCCAAACTTATAATTCATGCAAGCCATCACTTTGCAGCTTATTATAAAGGCCATATTACCAAAACACATTGACATTCCCTTTCCATCCCCAAAGCGAATAGACAGATTCAATGAAGTACCAGTATCGTTTTCAGCACAGTATACATATCTGTAGGCCAAATGATCAAAAGATACCTGCAAGTCAAGACTGGCGTCACAAGGGTCATGCCAGCTCAAAAGGTGGAAAATCAATTCGGGTAGTCGTCAAACTGAATGATGCTTCGGTCAGCAATAAAGCAGCAGAGCAATATGACAAAAATTAGCACACAGACTAGCATTAACTCAGCACACTGTCAACATGCCCGAATCGGAACACAGCTGAGTTCTACTTACCAATGAGTTGAGCTTCCCATCAACCGATTAAGAAGAAACCATGCTAGACTGGATGATGGGACTAAGTGTTGTGGGGATGGTGCTTAGTGGCTGCTTCAAATTGATAGGCGTTTAGATGCCAGTGGTAGGATTGTCTAATGTGACAAGATGAAGTGCACAAAATTGAGTTCAGGCTGAAAATTGAGTTGAAATTGAATCGAGCCTGATATGTATCGGCAAAGAATAGAAACCTAAAATCATGACATAGATTGGCCAACGATAGCCATTTGTAAGGTCCCGTTGGCGATTAAAACATCGCAAATTTCGATTGAAGAACAACGAAATATCAAGCCAGAAGCAGTGAAAACCTGATTGTTAAATGGACCAGAGAAATGCGGTAGTTATAGCAACGCTGAACTGTGAACCGTACCATTCCAAAGCTCAGTAAAATCAAGGAGCTGACAAATTCTTAGGGTGTTCCTTGCCGGCCTTCTCTGAACGTTCTGATGCCGCAATGCTGGCGACGATCCGTCTATGGGTGGTGTTAGTGTCTGTCAGTGGCCGGTGACCGGTGTCGGTGCGTGTGGGCGGCTCACGTTTCAGTTTGATGGGGCTCAGTTTGCCGGAGGTGCGCCGGTCGCGCAGTCCGCTGACTGACGGCAGCGGCGCGGGGGCGGCCGCCTCCTCCACGAGGGCGGCTCTCTCCTGCTGGCCGCCGCCGCCGGCAGCACCGCCTGTCGCGGAGAGCGAGCTGAGAGCGGCCGGCCGCGCGC